CAGAGTAACTGGCAATTTGATCACTTGTCAGTGCCCCCCCACCATCTCGACCCAATCTCAGACGTAAATCAACGATTGCCAGCCCGACCATATTTCTGCCCGACCGTTTCTATCCGACCACTTATGCAGACCGACCTATGAACCCTAAGCTGTAACTAACCAAGTATCTCTGACCTCCGTTATTCACCACCTTGACGGCGTGAGTAAATAATCTTGCTTTGCAACCGATAAGCTTCTGTGCCTAATTCCACTCCAAGCATCACAAGTACCCGCCTGACGGCCTTCTAAGGACCCGACCCCCCCGCTGCAGTGCACGGCAGCGACATCATCTTCTACGACCAGGTAACATATCACCTGCACAAGGGAGAGGAAATTGATGTCCTATATCTCAACTTTTAAAAAGCTTTTGATCTGGTATCCCACGATCGTCTTATAGAAAAACTGGCCAATTGCGGCCTCAGCTACATCACAGTCCGCTGGCTGGTGAATTGGCTTCAAGGTCAGACCCAGAGTGGTAGTTGATAGAAGTCAATCATTGTGGTGCGCCCTAACCAGTGGGGTCCCCCAACGGTCCGTCCTTGGGCCTATCCTTTTCAACATCTTCATTAATGATGTAGACATTGGTGTCAGAAGCGGACTGGCCAAGTTCGCCGATGACACCAAACTTTGGGGAAAAGCGTCCACACCTGAGGACAGGATGGTGAGCCAGGCTGACCTTGACAGGCTCTGAAAACGGGCGGACAAAAACCTGATGGTCTTCAACTCTGACATGCAAAGTACTCCACCTTGGGAAGAAAAACCTGCAGTATACTTATAGGCTCAGTAGTGCTACGCTTGCTAGCACCACGGCCGAAAGGGACTTGGGGGTCATGATTGACGACAAGATGAATATTCATAGATTTCATAGACATTAGGGCTGGAAGGGACCTCGGAAGATCATCGAGTCCAGCCCCCTGCCCAAAGGGCAGGAAGTCAGCTGGGTTCATAGGATCCCAGCAAGATAAGCATCCAGTTTCCTCTTGAAGGTGTTTAATGTAGGCGCTTGAACCACCTCCAGTGGCAGGCTGTTCCAGACCTTGGGGGCTCGGACAGTAAAGAAATTCTTCCTTATGTCCAGCCTGAAACGGTCTTGTAGTAGTTTGTGACCATTCGACCTAGTCGTCATCCCTTGGGGCGCTCTGGTGAACAAACGTTCCCCCAGATACTGGTGGTCACCC